AAAAATAAGAAGAAATATGCATGAATGTTTTCAAACTAGTTTCAGCATTGTTCTGTGACTAAAGTTTATTTTTATGTGTTATCATTATGTGATTATTCTTAGCTTTTCTTTTATGTTTTTTGTGTATTTTATATATATATTTTTTTTTCTTTTTTCTCATGGCTTTATTGAAGGTCTCCCCTCCCTTACATCACAAATCCTTGGGGACACTCAGCTGTTAACATCTGTGTTATGGACATTGATGAAATTTTATCACTGGTTGTTTCAAAAATTTCACTCATCCCCCAAGAATTTCTGGGAATAATTAAACTGTCAAATTTCATACAAATTCATTCCAACACCAATTCAACATCAACACTACTTGGTTTTCCTCATAGCCACATACTAGGCTTCCTCATAGCCTCACAGGCTTCCTCAGACATAGCCTCATAGGCTTCTTGATAGCCTCATATGCTTCCTGATAGCCTCACACATTTATTTGGAACCATAGATCCAATTGGATTGGTGTGATGTCAAGCCAGGGGTCTTTATTTTGCTACTTTTCAGTACGCACATAGGCTCTTGGCTTAGGCATGGAGCAAAAATTTTAATTTTAGCTGAGTAGATTCCCCAAGGGCCAAAATTAAGTGATGAATATAAAATAATAAAAGTTATAGTTCATTTATGATTTATGTTTCATTCAAACCTGGATACAACTGGCACTGCTACGCAATACATGTATTTACACAGAAGTTTATTTCTAATGGGATAGAGCAGGATTTTGAATTATGTTGATATGAGTACTAAATGCTTAATTTTACATATCATGAGTTCAAATGGAGAGTTCTGAAGCAAATCAGGATAATTAAAATGTTGCTTAAATTAATTGTCTTAAGAACTCATTATGTGTGACTTTGAGGATTTTGTTCATTGGGCACACATTTCGGCAATTAAGACTTAAACTCAGACAGGTTTTTAATGTCAGGTCAAAAGATTTTTGCAAGGAGGTAACTGTTTTTCTGGATGTTTACTCAGGCGTTATATACTTTTCATTATTACAAAACACACATCCACTGACCAAAGGATAAATATGTACAGTATAAACAACAGACACTTTAATATTAAGTACAACATTACAACATATTATGAATGGACCTTTAGTATATCTACAATCCAGAATCGGTACTCTTAAGTCAAACATGGAACAAATTACAGTTAAAAATAATCAGGACCATTTCTGAGGACTTTGTATAAACGATGTTTGATACGCTTTTGGAAAGGAATATGACGTTTTTAATGCAATACATGGATTACAAATTTACTTCAGGCTTATTTCTTCAAGTTCAAATGAAGTAATAACTTATTTAGCCAAAAGTGGTTTTAAACAAATTGTTTTTATGAAAAAACATGCCACCAGCTTAAAAAATCAATGCTTTATAACCTCTTTTTTGAAGTCATAAATCGTTTATGCCTTTAATTTCTTTACTTTGAAATTGCTGTTTCATCGACTTGGTAAAAATTAAATATTACCGATGACGAAAGCGGGTATCGTAAACCACAGATTTTATTTTTGTTCTGAGGATTTCGTAACAGTTGGCAGAAAAAATAAAAATAAAAGTAAAAAGAACTTCCTTTATTTTTATTCTGAAATCGGGAAATTGGAGTCAGGGGATCTCGTTAAACAGATAATAAAAAAAGTCTGGCCTAAGATACAATTGTAAAATTGTACCCATCTATGACATCCAATGTTTTATATGAATCTTTTTACAGGGTCTAGATCTTTTCAAATAAAATTTGACAAAGTTTTGTAAATGCAGTTTTTAAGGGCATCCAATACAGTTTCTTGATATAATGTCATTTTTATAATTTTGAAATATGTTGTAGGCCTTGGCGAGTTATAAAATAAAACACAAAATAAAACATAGGTCACCGTGCTTGTTTTCAAGAAAATTGGGGATTTGTGCAATATTGTAAAAAAGTCAGGTAATGTTATAACATTATTGGAGTAGATATTCTTTGTCGTAAATTAATAAGATCGGGTTCAATCTGAAGCTGTGATAAGTAACAATAAGGAAAAAATAAATTCCTACAAGAAAGACTATAAAATCATCAAGCCTTGTTTGACATTGCGGACCAGATTCTTAAAGTGGTATTTTTTTAACCTAAAAATATGGAAATAGAGTTGTTCTGAAAATGTTATTCTACATTAACTACATTTTGTCATGCTTTCTCCAAATCTCAAATTAAAAATATATGTCACCATGCTGGATTCGGTGATAAACCCAATTTATCATACAAATTGCTTCCCCTCTTGGTAACCTAAACGTTAGCGCTAAAATGCACGACTTTGCTAGCAGACAATTTCGACATCTCCTGCCAATTATCTCTGCAAGTTATCGGCAACATTTTTCAGATGTATAAACATTCTTATACCAAGGAGGTTATAACCTTCTTGCTCATACAGAGCTACCTATAAATTGGTAATATTGTTTTGGAAATAAAATCCTGTGAATCATAAATACCTCTCTCTGTTTGTGGTCCAAGTGAGAAACACCTCAAGAAAAGTTATTACGGACTGTTGATAATTTTTAAGGCTTTAAAAATTTAAAGACTCGCAGCATTTTAGGTACATATACTGTACACACTGGTGAATTGTTTTATACTATATGTTGACCTCTAGATGTTGTTTTTATTTGTTTTGTTTGGTGGGCTGTAGTTTCATTAAAATAACCCTTAAAATCCTTTTATTCACTTTTAAGAATTTCACATTTATTCATAAAATCAAACTTTTATTTGGGTCAATGATTACAGTTGAATAGAATTTGTAGGCTCATCACCAGTTTTAAAGTTTACTTGTATATACTTATTTCCACTGGATCACAAGTTAACACAAAGGTTACTTACATGAGATCTTTCCTGCAAACGGAACTTGTCAGAAAACAAGAAAAATCTTATAAAAACAAGGAATTATTTGAATCTGGAATAATTTTGAATTCTGGAAAATTGATTAGAAATGTATGATGAAAACTAACCCAACTAAATAGGGTTAGCCATGCGTGCATGGCTAAGGTTAATTTTACTTTCACTATCATTTCAGTATGAACTAACTAACCCACCTTAGCCATGCCCTATTTAGTTGGGTTAGTTTTCATCATATATTTCTCATCAATTTTCCAGAATTCAAAATTATTCCAGATTCAAATAATTCCTTGTTTAAAGCAGAATCTTCTATTTGCTAAAGGAGGCTTTTATCAGACAGAGAAAGTATACCATAATTTTGAAATTTTTCATAATTTTTCATAACTTTTGATTTGGCAAAAAAGATTGAATTGATATCGAGAAGACTGGCCATGTTACATATAAACGGGGGGGATTGGCAAGTTGTGATTAAAATCCAAAAACTTCTCATAGCGTAATTTCATTAGTAAATAATCATATGTATTTTTGTCCATCATAGACGCATTGCGGGGTACATAAAATATCGCACTTCCGTTCCACCATGGAAGTAATATTTAAATATTACTTCCATAGTTCCACTGTCTGTCCTTCCAATCCTTCCGGTTTATTATATTTTTCAAGTGTACAATTCTTGCCAGATTTTTATAAAACTTATATCGTATGGACACGTTCGAAAAGCAGCGCCTATCAACTATTTTTTAAAAGAGTTATGCCATTTGGAAATATCAATTATATCGGAAATTGCATTGTATTTGCTGTTAATCTGTCATTTCTCTAACATATTTGTAAAAAGTTTTAAAGAACAAAAAAATATTGTTGGTGATTGCCTTTTGTTGGATAAAATACGTTCAACACGGGGAAAATTAGAACTTTGTTCTTTTATTAAAGTTGTATCAATGTTAATATTAGTGGCATACCATTATTTGTTTAACATAAATAAATGGAATGAATTGTTCAGTTAGGAAATTTACTTCTTCATGTACCAGTGGATTTTCGGTATTAGTTTTTAAAAATCATTGGTTTTCTGTGCTGTAATAAAATGTTAAAAATCGGATCCAAATCAAAATTTAATCATGGACGATGAATGATAATAATGATGATAATTGACATGCATTATATCAGAAACACAAAAAGGGTCAGTTGTCTTGAGATCTCTTCAGATTGCTCACTATATGATATTTTGTTGAAAGTCTCACAGAAACTTCAAAATGAGGAACAACAGAAACAGTATAATGTGTTTAATTTCTTATGATTTTATTAGACTGTTATCCTGTTAGAATCAAATGCACTAATATTAATGGTGTAGAAGTCAGAATGCTTGAGAAACAGAAATTTGGAGCATCGATTATACAAAATATCTTATTCAGAAAATTAAGCGCATAACGTCCCACAGAAAGTGATGTTTTGCAGGAATTTGAACGCTTTACGTCACACCAACAAGTACAAACTCCCTTGAAACTGTATCGGATGCCCTTAAATCTAGGAGAGAAAACACTCAAGAGATACCTGTATTGCATTTGAAGCTTTGAAAGATTCCATAGATAGTTTTACTGACGCAAATTGAGTTTACCTAGCAATACATAGCTTCAAATACAGTACAGTTATCTGTATTCTGATGCAAAATAAACAAGTCTTTATTTTAGTGTAACAGTTTCATTAAAAACAAATATTCCACCAAATAATGTTGTGTTCCTTGCTAAACTAGATGACGTCATAGGTAAGCTGCATGTGTCATACGTAAACACCTGGTGTTTTCTTGCTTCTTGTCCGCCTCAGAGTGTTATAAAATTAAATAAAAAGAAGATATCTAGGTGCAAAATGTGAGGTTTTGTTTTTGTTGCTTATTATTCAAGAAATAACATGTCAATACATGTACATTCAAGAATTCAAAATATCAGCCACTATTAGTTACAGACAGCTAGATAAAGAATTGTTCGTTGATTGTCATCCAATAAGAACCATTGATACAAAGTAATATAATTTATTACTGATATATCAGACAAATGACAGATGCAAAGTAATGACAATAGCTTTAAAGCCTTAGTCAGGTGATAACTACTTACTGAATCTCCTGTTCCATTTGTATACGTTGTCCAAGTCACACTGTCATTAGAACTAGTCACATAGAACGATCTCACCCAATTTGGCTGGTCCTCTTGTCCCTGTATTTGTACAGTGTGGATCCAGTAATCCTCTGTTAAGAATACCTGTATCCACTGACTGGTATCCTGAACAGATGGAACCCATGCTCCAGTCAGACCACCAAAACTTACTGAAAATCAATATTATAACCTTAACTGTGACATTCAGTAGTTACAACTAGAGCCTCATAACACTCAGTTTAAAATATCCATAATTTAATGCCTTAACCCATGTTAAAATAAGCAAAGAGCATGACATGAAGGAATTATTTCTTAATCAGAAGTATTGAAACCACAAAGAGCTTGTTCAATATCCATTTATCTAAATTTGGTATCTTTGTTGAAATTAGTGTTCAGTTTGTACCATTTTTTTTTATCTGATGAGTTATAATTTCAATTGACTGTCCAATTGTTTCACCTTTCATTGCTATTCAAGGTCAGGAAGTGGGTTTATTTAAATTTGGCCATCTCCAAAGCTGGATGGTTGACAAGTATGTATAATGTTAATAGTTCTTACCATCGAGAGCTGTCATATTAAGCCTTGCCCGATCACCACCACTTACTTCCATAGCTGATGACGTGGAGATCCAGTCATCCAGAACCGCTCCACTTTGTATGCCTAAAGCATCTCTACACTCTACAACATATATTATTAGAATAGATGATTGTCATTTTTAAAGAGAAGTGGAACATATAAGCAATTAAATTATGTTAGATATATGATTAAAGAATTTTGTAAGATGTGAGAATTAATTAAAACTTATCAGTGTGTGTTACCAAAGGTAAGGTAGCCATTGTCCTTTATTGGCATCTTTCTGATTTGGTTCATGAGCACACAAACAATAATTGCTATCATGATATGTTATTTTTTTAGAAACAGTGTTTTACTATTCATTGTTCTATTGACACAAAAAGGACTAGCACTACACATACCCAAGGATCAAGTTATAAATTATATAATCATACTAGCACTACACATACCCAAGGATCAAGTTATAAATTATATAATCATACTAGCACTACACATACCCAAGGATCAAGTTATAAATTATATAATCATATAGATTGAGTTCTGCAACAATACGTATGCATTTTGTTAAGATGTCAAGCGATATTATAATTAGTTATGTTAAACATATTTATTTATAGTGGATTGGGAAACAAGTTATTGCAACTTATATTAATCCCTTTCCACTTTGCGGGTTCGAGTGCTGCCTTTTAGCAATATTATAATTAGGTTTATAAAAGTTAAATAATCAAAATACTTTTCATTAGATGTTAAAGATTCATTTGAGTACTTTAGAACTCGCAAGTATTATGACTGAGTACTCAAGTATTAAATTTCTGATTTTTTGACAAACCTTATTAATAGTATTTCAGCCTTTAGAATGAAAATTTATATGCTAGTCTTAAACCTGAAGAATGTTAAATATTTTTTAAGATAAAATATTGTATTCTTAATTTACCGTATTCATAATAGTAATATCCAGGCACACGGAAAAAAACCTCCCCCGTCATATTATCTACTGTGAGAGAATATAGAATCACTCCATACTCCACATCCATTAGACAAGAATTATCCACTAGGAATGTTATACTAGCAGCTGTTCCTCTAACAGGACTTCCGTGGTCTGTAACTATAACAGTAAAACTCAGGGTTGTATTGGCTGTATATACTTCATTGTACAAGTCATGTGTGGCATTGTAATCTAAAGCTGGACTGAAAAAAATATTAAATATACACTTCATTGTACAAGTCATGTGTGGCATTGTAATCTAAAGCTGGACTGAAAAACATATTAAATACATAGTTCATTGTACAAGTCTTGTGTGGCATTGTAATCTAAAGCTGGACTGAAAAGAACGTATTAAATACATTATATAAGTTCATTGTACAAGTCATGTGTGGCATTGTAATCTAAAGCTGGACTGAAAAGAATGTATTAAATACATAGTTCATTGTACAAGTCATACGGGCATTGTAATCTAAAGCTGGACTGAAAAAAACATATTAAATACACAGTTCAAGGGTTCTTTAAAAGCAAGGGCTGATGATTCTAATTATGTACTGGCTTCACACATATACTGCTGATTTCAATTAAATAGTGTAGTAAAGAAATGATTAGTTTCTGTTATTAAGCATCAGTTTTCAGTGAACAGCTGTGGCTATTTAAGCTAGCTTTGTAACTAACACATTTTGAGCCTATTTTCCAACTACTGCGGATTCATTTATTTCAATCCTCAAGTTAATGGTCATACTGTACTGAGTTTAACAACACCATATTCTATATCTGTACCAAGTCAGGCTATCATGTCATTGCTGTTAAGATCTGTTATCCTGGTGAGAGTTGGCTGTTGGACATTGGTGTGATGGCAAAAAAGTCACATATATATTTAGTAGTGCTTCTGGTGACCTAGTATATATAAAAGCACCTTCTATTGGCTGCACTATTGGAGTAGCCTTTCAGCTCAAATGGTAGCTAGAGCAGTGGCTTACTATTCCAAGGGTCCTAGAAATAAACCAATTGAAGCTAGTACAATGGTAATTTTTAGAGACTCGCTGGTAACATTTGCCAAACCAACTGAAAAACCAAGGTTGATAATAATAGAGATTGAAAGATTAAGGCTAGGATTTAATGTGGATGTCGTCAAACTGTATAATGACTTGAGATAAGTGTTATATAACAGCCCTATACATTAGCTGCACTAGTTGAGCACTTCTTTTGCTCAGTTGTTAAAGTTAATGAAATGTCATACATATAAATTGCACTTCTACATCAAAATTTGCCTTTTCCCCAGCAAAAATCTGCACTGATCATTTGTTGCAAAATGCTGTATAATGATTGAGAAAGACTCCAAAACTACCGAATTAATAACCCATTTTACTATTCAATGTATGCACTGAAAAAAATAGCAGTTAGACGTGGGACTTAATGAAAAAAGAGTTGATTTTGATGGAGGTGAACACATGTTTTTGATTAAAACAGTTCCTATACTGTGGATTCATTTATTTTCGTGGGTACCAATTTTCGTGGATGGAGGAAAACTTGCATATTCGTGGATATTTAAATTCGTGGTTTAGTCAAAGTTCATATGCATTCCTTTAAACAATTTGCATTTCGTTGAACATTTAAATTCGTTGTTTCCTTGTACCCACGAAATCCACGAAAATTGGTATCCAACGAAAATTAATGAATCCACAGTATATCCTTTGCTCTATTCTTATTTTATCATTGGAAGGCACTATATTTAAAATATTTCTAACCTTAACTTTTAATATGGTTAATTATTTGATTTTCAAGCATATATCTAAGTAACATCAACAAAAATGTCCATTTCATTTTCTTGCTTTGTTGGAATTTTATTTATGAATTATTTCAATTCTAATAGGACAAATTCTGTAAATTTGTTAATCGTGAAAGCCCTATACATACAATACTGTTTTGGCTGTTCCGTTTTACCCAATTTGATAATATTAGTATTTTATATAGTTCAATGATTTTTTTTTTAATCGCATTTTTCACTTAATTATATATATTCTTCCAATGAAATTTTATTCGTTCTGAGGCGTACAAGAAGCTTTAAAACGCCCGGTATTTACATTTGATTTTTTGTTTACGAAAACATACTTGTGACGTCACCTTGTTTCGTTGCCATGCCAAGAAAATAACATCATTTTGCAGAATTTTCATTTTATGAAATTTTACCATGAAAAATAAATTGAAATGGATTGTTTTGTTTGTTTTGCTGTAGAATAGAGATATATTTAATGTATCTGAATCTTGGCCTACGTAAACTGGGGATTTTGATGTCGAAAATTGAGGATATCTGGTAGTATAAATAAGTTGGTCGTAACGTGGAACAGCCGTCTTTGTGTATTACTGCATTTGCGCTAAAGGTAGATATATTGGGATTATACTGGTTGACGATAATAGGTCTTCATATTAGAATTGTTAATCATGCACATGCACCCTATGATCATTGTTTTGTCTATAAAGCCAAAGTAGAGTCACTGTGTCAGATTAGAACATTCATTATAACAGTACTGCCCTGCCCACCAAAAATATAACAGGAAATTTGATCTATTTAATTTAGTTTACATACAATACAATTCGTCCTTCATCAATGATTCAGCATGAGCCAGTTTTCTCAATCTCTTTTTGGTCACTTGTATATTTATTTCTATTCCGTTATATTTGGAATTTCCCTATTCTATTTCTATCTTTAGACTTGTGGTACAAGTTTGGCTAGTATGTAAATCAGAAGTGGTCTGATGTTACTGTTGTTTTCTGCACGAATATTTCGAGGGCGGTAGTACGGGTGGGGTTTTATAGGCATATATAAGTCCTGATTACGTTTGATTATTATCGATGTGCTCCAGTAACTTTGATAGACGAAGTTAACGTTAAGCTCTGCATAATATATTACAGTTATGTTTGTATTGATATGTATTTAGAAGACATTGTGAATGTATATAGATGGAATTGTGGTATATTTTTGTAATTTGTAAAATGTTTACAAGATATTAAATGTTGTTTCGCTGAGAAAATAAGGAAGTTACTGCGAGCAAACAAACCTAAATTATGACTTGTCTCTTATTTAGCCATGTATTTAGTATAGAAATGTTTTAAATTCGGACGAATTCATGAGGGAGAATTTAAAACAATTTATGTTTAGTTTGATTAGATATATTCCCTACAGGGGGGCAAAAGTATTGCTGTGGAAAGTGATAGCACACAACATATACAGATGCATTTATAATCAGCTATCCCAACCACCATCAACAGCTACATATTAACTTGGTAATTGATTCAAACAAACACTTTGTGTTAAGATAATACATATATTTAAAATTACCAATCAAAACTACCAATCAAAATTAAGGACTTTTTTTTTAAATATTCTAGTATTGGATTCACATAGCTTGTTGGTTATTGTCATTTAATTTTCATACATATAATTTTTTTTGTTTTTTTGTTTTTTATCAAGTTTGATAACTTCGTTCTTCATGAGATGATATCATTATAAATACAGTATTTTGCAATAAGAAATCGTAAAGAAGGAAGCTTATATAGCCTTGTTTTCCTTCGTGTCATAAGTAAGATTATAATTTGATGTAAATATTTGATTTATCTCTTGTTTTTGCAAATAAACAGTTTTATATAATCAATGTTTGCAAGATATAAAATATTGGACTGGATTTTAATATTAGGGTCTTACAATAGAAGTGATGCTCTTATAACGGCAGTTAAATCATTGGCAAAAAAAATTGAGCACATCAAATGGACCAGAGTGATACAGTATTTTTACTTATGTCCACTAAGAAACGGGTCAAATCTCCTTAAGTATCTGATTTTAAAATTATGAAAAAAATACCAGTGTACAGCTGCTTAGCATGTGCTTTGAATCGGAAAGAATCATTTTTGTTCCTATTGCAATATAGGGATTGTGGAAAAAAATTAAAACATGTGAATATGTCCACTACGTGACGGTGAACTACAAAACAAGTTTGGGAGAAAAACGTTTCGTAGTGGATACTGCCACTACCATGCAGTCTTTTTTTTACTCTTTTTTTCAATTAAATTCTTGCAAAACAAATAACAAGGGTTAGTTTCAAGTAATTTTCAATATATTTTTATCAACATAGAATAGGGTTGATGTCAACTACGAAACTTTTTGTCCAGTACCAAACGGTTTTTGTCAACTACCAAACTCATCATCAAAATGTCCACTATGTAACAAGAGTTGTTGTACCTTCATTTGTGAAGTACTGTCTAATCTTTATCGATAAAAAATGGTTCTCTGATTCAGAAAAAAATGAGATCTTTCCAGTATATAAAATAAAACAAATTAGAATGTCAATAGGACACATTAAAATGCAATAAGATGTGCGTTTAGAAGCAGTTTCTTAGTGGACTACTACGAACACTAGTAACTTGAATTTAGCTTGAACGGACAAAAACGCATTAACGGCATTTAAAAAAGATTAATGAAAATTGAATAAAGATTGACAAAAATTAAAAATTATTTTTAATGTATTTCAATCCATATCAAATCATTTTAATACCAGTCAAACAGTTTCCCTTGCGGTCATTCAAGTTAATTTGAGATGTGGTTAAACTGCGTCAAACTAATTAGCCACGCCCCCGTTAAACAGAATCAAACTGATGTTAAGTCCTTTTAAACTTTAAAGTGTCCGCCTTTTTGTAAGGTAAATCACTCAAGCAGAACAGCATCCTCGAGTATCTATAATTAATCCGCTCCGAGCGTTATCGATTTAAGATATTTTACTGGTGGTTAGTTTAATATATGTTTTCCAATATTTATGTTATACGTAATGTTTTATATGTATATTGGAATGTATAATGTTATACAAGTGGTGAGACTTTAATAAAAAAATTGAATCTGAATATATAAACATGCTTCACAATTAAGATAAACGAATGAACAATAGATATATAACTAAATTTATAAATATTGATGCACGATTTAAAAAGCACAAAGTGTTAATCTGTTAAAAATAAAATAGCTCTTTATATCAAATTATTCGTTTTCAATATTGCTTACTAATATGAAAACTTGTGGCGTGTAAGTAAGGTATGGTCTTTTAAATATATCTGCGAAAAAATAAAAACCGGAAAGATAATAAGGTCGTAATTGTGCTCATTACAAACCTAGAAGTGAAAGATGTTTTTTTAATCAATAGACAATAAGTTTTAA